ACAAACACCAGAAAGTATTGTTTTCCTCTTTTTTTCCTTTTGATCTATTTATTGGTCCCTTAATCAGTATGTAATGTTCATTACTATCATTTAGTACTTTTCTTTAGCTCAAATATTATTTGAGCTATACAAACATGCCGATTCCTGCTTTTCTTTTTAATTGAATCACTATGAGATGAGCATTACAAAGCTGTTCATGATTGGGTTTCAGTCATACTATGTTCCAAAACCCATCCCTCCACCAGTGTAATTTCCAGCACCAACATCCTGAGTTTTCCTTCCCCGACCCCCACCCTGCCCCCACGGTCTCTCTTTATTTTAAAGAGTGGTCAAGGTGGTAGCCCCCAAAAAAATGTATAAACAGCCCTAATTAAATGTTTTTAATGTAAGAACTCAACACATATTAAACCAAATTGAGCATCTGGAATCTTGTTCATGTAGTCATGTCTTTCCATTACTAGAATGATAATTTTGCTTTATTCGCATTAGACAACATTTATGGTGAATTTCACAAATGGTAAAGGAAACATGCAAAAAAAGGGAGGGACTTAAAAATTCAGTTTAAGTATATTTTTTAAATGATGGACATTATACTTGAAATGTTAAATACATGATCTCAGCTTACTTAGCACCTATGTTAGGTAAATAAATTTTTGTTTACTATACAATGTATATACTACTTATGAATATGAACATAAGTATTTAAATTTTGTGGAGCTGGATGTACTTGAGTTTTATTTACCCCTGCATATGAACATCTTCTGGTTAGCCCACTGCTTCTACTAACTGTCTGCATCTTAACTGTTTGGATTTGGGAACTCTCCTGAATAGATTTTTACCCACTTTGATCTTCCATTCTTTAGTTTGTAGATTTTTTTAAAATCTAGCTAAGAGAGAGTTCAAAAACCGCAAGAAGGAAAAGGCAAGGTGCATTTCTGTTTCGTTTTGTGTGGGGGCCACACCCAGTGGTCCTCAGGGGTTATTCCTGGCTCTGCACAGAGGAATTACTCCTGGTGGTGCTCAGGGGACCATATGGGATGCCAGGGATCAAACCCAGGTCAGCCAAGCCCTAGCCACTGTACTATTGCTCTGGTCCTTAATTTATTTAGTTTGGGGACCCTATCTGGCAAAGCTCAGGAGTTACTCCTGGCTTTCCATACTCCTGGCATGGTACACTTCTTTTATTAAAAAAAAAAAAAAATCTGGGAAGCAGCCTGGCTTATTGTTGCCAGACTTCTGGCCTGCATTAGTTAAAACTTTGCTTATGACACAAATTAATAAGATTGGGATTCACTATTCTCTTCGACTTTGGTGTCAGATATGTGAATGACTTCTATATTTCCCCCCTTATTTCTTGAGACTTACTATATTGCTTATAGTGAAAGGGATCAGGGAATTTCTATTAACTATTTACCAAACTGTGAGGATTTTGAGAATATTCAAAACATGAATCAAATAGTTTTCTAATTTCAATTTTTGTACAAAAATTTTAATTTTTCTTTCTTTTTACTCATTAAAGATTCCAGTGCTGAATATTCAAATGAAAATTTTTCCTGCACTTTGTACAGTAGCGGGGACCATATTTTCCTGTACAAATTACTTCCGTGTAATCTTCACAGGTGGTGTTGGAAAAAATGGATCAACAATAGCAGTAAGTATATCATAAGATTTCCAATGATTGTTGGAACACTGGGGCTTGGTTATGTGGTCATTTTGTTTTTACTTGAATTGGGGATGAGGGGACCACCTGATAATTTAGAGTTTCAGCTTTATCTTTTTAAAAAGTAAAATCAAGGGCCAGAGAGATAGCTAAAAGGGCTGAGCACATGCTTCGCACGCAGGAGGCAATCTTTGACACTGCCTGATACCTTGAGCACTGCTGGGGTTGACCCAAGTGCACAGAGCTAGAAGTAATCTCCCAGCACTACCTGGTATGCCTCCTCCCATCACCAACAGGAAAAAGTATCCAGGATTTGTCCACCGCATTTACTTCATATGCTTGTGTTTGCATATTTTGTTCACTTATTAGTGTAAATCTCATATAACTAGTATAAATTATACATATATTTTTATACACGTGTATTTTTTTTAAGTATGACTTGTTTTGTAAAATAAGCCTAACTCCCAAGTAAAGTCCTCAATTATATGGTACCCAGTCCATATTATTGATTTTCATTACTTGTACTGAAAGCGATAAGCTCTCAAATGTTGTAAACTTTAGTTTACTAATGAAGGATACTGAGTTCTAGAAATGACTGTCTCTGGACTGGAGATAATTAGGACTAAGGCACATGTGGCTGACCCCAGTGTTATTTCCAGCATCACCAGGAGTGATACCTGAGAACAGAGCAAAGAGTAAAGCCCTAAGCACCACCAGGTGTCACCACCCCCCACCTTTCCAAAAACAAAACAATTTACTGGCTCAGACACTACGGTGTTCTCAATAGTCTGAGTTGATCTTCTTCCAGTATCTACTAGTATTTCATTAATTCTCTTTTCTCTGCACAGGGAACAAGTGTCCTTTCTCCTTTCCTTCATATTGGATCAGTGATTACATTAGCTGCAATGATCTACAAAAAATCAGCAGTTCAGCTTTTTGAGAAGCATCCTTGTCTCTATATACTTACATTTGGTTTTGTATCTGCTAAAATCACTAACAAACTTGTGGTAAGCACCAGATTTTTTTATTTGTTTGACTTTTAATTTGCATCTCAGTGTAGTTTGAGGGCTATCATTTTTCATTTTGTAGCACCTAAGCTGTTCAAGACTGTTCTCCAGGGGCTGGAGCAATAGCAGCACAGCGGGTAGGGCTTTTGCCTTGCATGCGGCTGACCAGGGTTCAAGTCCCAGCATTCCATATGATCCCCTGAGCACCACCAGGAGTAATTCCTGAGTGCAGAGTCAGGAGTAACCCCTGTGTATCACCAGCTGTGACCCAAAAAGAAAAAGAAAAAAAAAAAGTTTGTTCTCCAGTCAGTCTCTTGGCATGAACATGGAAGCAATTTTTTTTTCCTGTAAAACCACATCTGAGGTTATTGGAGCTCTCTCCTTTATTCGAAGTTCAGTTTGTTTATTTAGCTAATTTGCACTCTTTAATCTCTACATTCAAAGTAAGACCTTTAAGGAAGAACAGCTGAGGGTGGGGGCTTATTAGATAGATAGATAGATAGATAGATAGATAGATAGATAGATAGATATTCCTCCAGTAAACAGCTCAGTTTTTTAGTTTGGGAAATGTAATAAATATTTCTATATAATTCTTAAAGCCTTTGAACAAAACTTATTTACAATTGCTCTTATGGAAAAATGCTTACCTCATTGATTCTGTTTTATTCATAGGTTGCACATATGACTAAAAGTGAAATGCATTTGCATGACACGGCATTTATAGGCCCAGCACTTTTGTTTCTAGACCAGTATTTTAACAGCTTTATTGATGAATATATTGTACTTTGGATTGCCCTGGTAAGTGCTGTCCTTTGTCCTGTTTCATGAGTTGGAGGTTGTTTTCTTGCTTCTTGCCAGTCCTTTGAAATAGATGTAATGAAATAGCCAGAGAGCTAGAACAGAGGTACTTGACTTGTATATAGCTAGCCCCAGTTTGATTTCCAGAACTGCATACGATTGCCTGAGTGCCACCAGAAATGACCCCCCTCACCCTCATCCTTAGCACAGAACCAGTAGTAATCCCTGAGCATTCCCCACAACCAAATAATGATTTGGATTGTCAGAAAACCATATTTATGAGACCTTATCAGAAATTCTGTGATGTTATCTTTGAGTCATAATTTGCATAATTTGCATTAGTTTTGCCTACTCATAAGTTACAGATTTCTAAATTTAAGGCCAAAGTTGGAAAACTATACCCTGGGAGACCAGTGGCCTGTTTTTTGTAAATAAGGTTTTATTGGAACACAGCTATGAGTGCTTATTGCTATATTATCTATTCCTGCTTTTATACCTCATACCATAGTGGAGAGTTAAGCTACTCTACATCTTGTGACAAAGACATTGTGATTAGCAACGTCTAAAATATTTACCCTCTCTTTGACAAAGTTTATCATTAATGCAAAGGAAAGATTCATGAGGAAGCCAAGATAATAAATTTTATGGCTTTGGGGATGAATCTGAAGCAAGGAGTTAGAAATTCTATTCATTACTTCCTGGAAACTTAATGCCTCCACGAGTCCTTGAGAATCTAATCATCACTTTTCTTTCTAGGTCTTTTCTTTCTTTGACTTGATCCGCTACTGTGTCAGTGTCTGCAACCAGATTGCTTCTCACCTGCACATACATGTCTTCAGAATCAAGGTCTCTACAGGTCATTCTAATCATCACTAATGATGTAATCGGTGTCATATAGGAAACTCATGTTTTCTACAGGAAAGAATCTGAACATATTAAGAAGAATGGGATGGATAGGAACAAATATAATTTATAATAATCAATGTTGTATAACTTCCCTTCTTTGTTATTGGTAACACTCTTTTAACTATCCTGTGTGAGAATGGGAATTTCAACTCCCATCCTGTATCTTGTACATGTTGTTGTACAGGGTTTGGTCCAAGAAAGCATGCAGGAAAAGATTCCATGTGTTTGTAATTATCCTGGATTCAGAAGAAAATTGTCATGGGGAGCAGATACGCAGTGGTGGAGATTTCTGATGTAGAATATTTGCAGGACAAAAGATGATTGCTATCTAATTTTAACAAATTATCATCTTTTAGTGACATCCTTATTGCGTGTTTTCTCAAGCATTCTTTACTAAGGAACTCAGCTGGGGCACAGATACATTCCCACTGGTTTGTGAGATGAACTTGTGGTAAAGACCTTGAATTTGGATCGAAAGGTTTCCTATCTTGATATTGTTGAAGAAGTCATTTTTTTATTGCTCTGAAAAAATGGTCTCTATGGGCTTGGGAAATCCTGTTAGCATGCAAAATAATGTGGTAATTTTGTCAATCCATTTTATTTTTTTAAATAAATATATGATCTGAAAGCCAGCTTTTTTTCTGTTTTATTCATTGGAAAGATAAACTAAGTTATAATGTCATTTTTTTTTAATTTAAGCGAAATTTATTTCTGTTCTTTAATAAATAAGGAGATTCAGTCAGCTGCAGTTGTGTCTTGTCACCTTTCTATTTTATATAAACTGTTCAGCTTTTTTTAAAAAAAGTAGATTTGTGTTGTTATAATTGTCACTCATGAGAATTATCCATCTTAATGGAGTCTCAGCCTTTCCCACACATTTTCAGTAATTTCCCAAGCCTTTCTAAGCATTTATTGCAAATCTGATTTTGTCTTTTTTAGCTACTAATTATACAAATTAGAGTCAAGTATTCTCAGTAATTGCAAATCAGATTTCTTTCCATGGTACATAGATAATTCAGTTGCTTGATTGAAGAGAAGACAGCAAAAAAGATTTTAACTTTGGGTAAAGAGTATCTTCTTTCTAATTTCCTTTTATGCCATTTCCATAATCAAGGATAAGTAATAGCTGTAATGCCTCAACTTGGCAGCTTGCTTGTGCTTTTGCTGGTTCTGTCAGTCCCATGTATCATCTGGATTAGCAGTGACTTTGCTAGGTTGTGTAGCAGGAAAGGGAGAACCCTCATCACCTTTTTTTACTCGAAACTTCTCCAGCCTCAGGGCTAGGCAGGATTTGGTAGCTATGGAATAGAGTCTTCGTATTTTTTACATTTCCTAGGATTCAAGTCCTTATTCTAAATACTTTTGAAGTACCACCAAATAGGGCCCAGAACAATAAAACAGTGTGTATTAGAAGTAGTAGCAGCATCATTAGAGGTGGAATGTGGTAACAATCTGCCAACTGCAGCCATTCTCTTTGTCCCCAAATCAAGGTATATTGGCTTTCACTTCAGTTTGGCAACCCCATGCCCCTATTCCAGCCTCCCAAAACAAGTGTTCTTTGTAGAGAATTCAAGGGCCTTGAGGACTACATTCAGAGACACATAAAGAAGATGGAAAATTTGATCCTCTCTAATCACTTCCCATCTCTTACAGCTGTGAAGCAGCAGCAGTCAGTAGTGGTAGAGAAGAGAACTAGACAAGGTGATGGCTCAGTTCCTCTGGACTCTTAAACAATTCTGAGTCTCATTTCAAAAAGAAATACAGGGATCCCTCTGCCTACATCTATAGAGTTGATCTGGAGACAACAAAACAGGATTTCGAATATCTACAACAGAAGACTCCGAACTGCAACTGATGAGCTGACATTTATGGAAGAGGCACAATGTTTCCCTCTGGCTTCACGAACTGGAATTCCTAACCTCACTTTACTAGACTGGAAGAATTCCATGCTGTCCAACAGTGACTCCTTCCAGGACTCAAGACTGCATACCCGACTAGGAGTAAGAGCTGCTGTCCAGTCCTCACGGCTGTCCTGCTCTCTCCAGCATCTCTGACTCCTGTTAGACATGGAGCTGCTGCACCCTCTAACACACAAAACCACACAGCCGAAATTTCTGGGCCACTATGACCAAATCATCCTCTTCTAGCCTAGTTCATCCTCAATTTTCGTGCTTCTCCCCTCAACTGGAAACCAAACGTATGCACATTAACCACAGGAAAATTTTTATTTTGATCTTTATTCTTATCCTCACATGCCCACAGACCTCTTTTTATATATATATTTTTTTTTTATTTTTAATGCAGAGAGACTGAGGCTTGGGGCCAACTGCTATCTCTGTGGAAGACTTTATAAAAAGTGTCTCCCAGGAGAGGACAGTTGCAGCAGCTTCTAAGTAAGTCCCTAACCACCTGTGCTACTGTGTCGGCTCTGGATCATCTCTGAAGAAAGGCAGCTTGGAGCCCAGCTCCATGAGCAAAGAGGTCAAAGCCTCCCAGAGGCATGAGACAGCTGATCCCAGGGATTCCACACTCAGACACCAGCTCAATGCAAGACCAGGAGTCAGGACTCAGAGCCCTGTGGAGTGTACAGGCCGAGAGCTTGGCTGATGCTATCCTGCAGACCAGAGTCCAGAACTGGCCTGTTGATCATGTCAGTCCTGCTCACCACCACTCTTATTTCACAGTCTTTGATTTCTTCTGTTTCTTCTGTTCCTCATACTCAAGTATTTTCCGTTGGAAATACCCTGTGGGGTCAAATACAAAGTGTCAGTATCTTCTAAACTGGCCCATTTTAGGAGTAAGATCAGCAATATCCTCTGCTCACCACAGTCGTACCCCCTCAACACACGCACACACATACACACGTTCCTGCCAGGATTCATGTGCCCTGACAGGATACTGGAGATCTGGAAATTTAATCGACTCCAAACAAATGGGCCAAAAATCAGGGAGTCATTGACAGGAATTAGCTCCAGACTAAAGCAAGGGAAAAGGCCACTTTAAAATGACCTTATGTGTAGAGAAATTGCTATAAAATGTTAGCCCAGGAGATACTTTCTTAGACCCCATGTTATTTCCACTTCACTAATAAGATTACAACTCTGTTCACCTCCAGAAATGCTCTATATCTTCTTTCTCTTCCTCTCCTTCCTATACCCCCCATCCCCACCACACACACACACACACACACACACACACACACACACACACACACACATCCCTCTGGACGCAGATCACTAGAAGGCTGTCAGTTACCTGCAGGAGGATTCTTGCTTTTCTCTGCTTCTTGAATGAAAAGGGAGAAGAGCTGTGTCTTCACAAACTTCTTCACAAATCTCCTGACGGGCTTTTGGCTCAGAGCTTTATAGAAGGACCTTTCCTGGAAATGGCCTTGTCCATTTGCCTCCCGCTTGATATAGGAAGCATAATGACCCAATGTCTTGACAAAGAACTGCACAAAAGGACCTGAAACATGCTCGTTGATTTGTTCTGAAGCTGCAGGGAACAGAGACCATTTTAGAAGGAGCAGTGATTGAAACAACCCACTCATACCTCCAAGTGATTTTCATTTCAGGCTGAAAGCTGCCAGGGAAGGGGTTAAAGTAGAGCTAATAATTGTGGGTTGATTTTAAGGGACAACTGGGGTTTCCACCATTCCTTGGGAAGAACAAAATTTCAGACTGGGTCTTGCCCTGGAATATAAGATTACAGCTTTATCACTGAGACCAGTCCCAAACTACTAAGTGAGTTCATCCTAGACCTAGAAGGGAATATTAGGAACCATGTCTTCCATACAGTTCTTTGGAGAAACCCCCCCCAAAAAAGAGGGTTCTTGGACTTACTCTGTAAATCACTGATGTCCTGGCCAAGAGAGTTTAAAATGTCGTCCTGAAGCTTGGAGGGCAGAATATCTTTTTCATCACCAACCTAAGAAAGGAGACTCAACTCAGGGTCAATAGTGAGGGAGTGGTGTAGAGTGAAATGGTGACAAGGAGCATAAGGAGGGTACAAATTTACTGTCCCAGCCCCCAACTAGTCAGCCACTGTGGAGCAAAACAAGCTGATTCTTGGTCTTAGTTTAAGTCTAAACATTTGCAAATCTCTATTCCTGTGCTACTTGGCTATTATCCTTGCTCAAAAAGTACAGAGACCAGTGGCCTTACTGCTCTAATAAAGTCATTTGTCTCTTTACCATAGGCACTTTGAAAGAGAAGTCTAAGAGTTCTCACTCAACAGAAGAATTTAAAGTTCATTGAAATAAGGGGATAAGGTGAGAGTGGGCTGAGGTGTAGAAACTTACTGACATTATGAAGGTGCCATTACAGAGATTCACCAACAGGACCTGAAAGGAACACAGAACAACCACTTGATCTTGCCCCCTTTGGGAGAATTAGAACTTAGCATCTCCATTTCTACCCCTATGTCTTGAAGCCCAAGCAGCAACAGAATCAGAATCTTCAATTCTAATTCCCCGACTAATCCTCTTCTCACTATCCTCCACTTTAGAAACCTGGGGAAAAGGTTTAAAGGTGTAGGAAGTGAGGACAAGGATAGAAAGTTACGGGAGAACAGGAATACCCGGGGTTTTCCCAGTCAAGAACAAAAAGTTAGAAGAGAACAGGAACACCTATGGGGTGTTCCCAGCCAATCAAACCCTTCATAAAACTGATCACAGAGATTGCTTCTATCTGTAGCACAGTGAGAAGTTAGTAAGTACTTTGTGAAATTTATCTCATTTCAGCCTGTCAAGGCAAGTACCATTCCTGTTTAGCAGGAGAGGAAGCGAACCAAAAAAAGCTAAATCATCTGAGGTGATAACACTGTAACAGTGAGTGGAACCAATTTCCACACTTAGATGGTACAGTGTTTGGGGCTGTACAACTCCATCTACAGTGACCCCTCAATCCCCTCCCCTCCGCTCAGCTTTAGCACAGCTATGGACTTTTCTTTTTCCTTCAATCTTTTAATGCTTATAAGAGCTGGACATATAATTGCCTGTTCTACTTTGAAAACTCTCCCAAAGAGGCTGGAGAAATAATGCAATGGTTAAGGCATGCTTGCCCTGCAAGTGGCCAAACCAGGTTTGACTCCTGGCACTGTGTACAGCCCTTTCCAGCCCAAAAGGACACAGCAAAAGAAACGATCCCAGTCTCAGCAGGCAGGGAGAGAATGGCTTTGAGGACATCTTATGCCTATAGGCTGGAAATGAGGTGGTTAAGGGTATAACTTGGGAGATATGGGTTTTCTAGTACCAACCCCATCACTGCCTGAAGCCCCTCAGCCTTCCCAACCCCTGCTGGCTGACTTCCAACACACAGTTATGTTTCTTTAATTCCAAGAGTACTTTTAAACAATTGGATTTGTTTCTAGGCGGGAGAGCTAGTACAGTGGGCAGGGGACTTGCCTTGCATGGAGGAAACCTGGGTTCAATTCCTGGCATCCCAAAGTATCCCTGAAGCTCCACAAGGAGCTTCTAATTTCTGAGTGCACAGTCAGGAAGTAACTCCTGCGCATCAACCGGTTTGACCCCCAAACCCCCAAACAAAAACAAACCAAAAAGAAAATTTTGCCGAAGGCCCAATTGGTATAATGATTAGCACTCTGGGTTTTCTTCCGTTATTTGAATTGAAAATTTTCACCCAAGGTTTGGTTTGGGAACATCTAAAATGTCCGCAGCTCCTACCCATGCCCACATTTCTAAAGGGTGACGTTCTGACAGAACTGAGCATAGTCGTCTCCTCACAGCACATAAATGCTACCCCACTCCCCACCCCAGACCTCCCCACACACACAGCACACAGACACACCCAATCATTGTTGGACACTTAAATGCCTGCTGGTGCCTTCTGTGGGGGCATTCCTGGGTGCTGACAATGAAGGAATGAAAGGCCTTGCTCCTTTCTTTCCAATGGGAGCAAATAGAGGGACTGGGAAGTATCAAAGACAGCACTTGCCCTCATTAGTTATCAGCAGGGAGACAAGCTCAACTAGTCAGAGGCTGATCTGCTCGGAGATGGGCTGAAGTTGGAGCTAAGAGTGTGTAAAGATTTCTGTTGAGAAGTTGTCCCCAGAAATCTTCCCAATACTGGCACTTATTACTGTCAAGTAAGCCCTTCCTGAGATGTGCGTGGTAGTCAGGGAGTCCACTCACGCCCACTCAGGCCTTTGGCTTCTGCCTTCTTCTTGGGAGAACAGGCCAAGAACAGGAACTGCAGCTTCAGTCCTAGTGGCCTTCTGGTGTCTTCCTGCAAGCCCCTGGCGGGGAGGGGCTGCAACATCTGGGGAGCTTGAGCTGCTGCGTCAGGAAATTTCCTAACTTTGGGGGTTGGGACATTTGAAACGTAATTGCTAAACATGGGGCTGATACTCTGCCCCAGTTAGTCATAAGGCAAAGGCCTGTTCAAAGTGCATGTGTGTGTACTCAGCAGTTCAAGGGGGGCTGGGAGACGAGGAAGGGAAACAGCCTGCTGCTTGGCTCCCAGCAGTGCTTCGTGTCAGAAGATTTTTAGGAAGGCTTCCATCTTGCCTGTTTGGCCTGGGGAAGTCAGCTGGACACGAACTGAAAGCTTGCCCGTGCAAAATGGGAGAAATTACAGCAGCTTCAGTAGTAGCTTTCCTCTGACTGTGTCTCTCTCCTTGGTGGGCCCTTCCTCTATACAGAGTCTGTGGTTTCCAGGTGTACATGCACCCACAGAATTCTTTTGGCTTGAGATGATAGGAAGCTGCTCTCCTTTGAAGGTTCCTACTAGACAGCTCATAGCAGAGTGCATGTTTTGAGTTGCCCTTTCAACACTAGGATTGATTTAACCTCTTAAAACCCACTTTTACCACCAAGCCCTCCAGTGTATCTGGGGAAATGCCAAGAAATAAAAAGCTAACAACAACCAAGAGAAAAAAAAATCAAAGGGGGTTTGGACCTGTACCCTCATTAGCCAAGTAAGCTTCACACTAATGAGAGATGATTCTTGCAACAAAAATCTACATTTGAAGTCAGAATGTGCGTGGAGAGCTATATTAGCTCACTCAAGCACTCTAAATGCATCAGGTAGGGTGTGTGTGGCAAGAGAGCAGCTGAGCGAATCCACTGATGAGTGACGGGACATCCTGAAGCAGATTCATTAGGACTAGCTGGCTGGAACAGCTGGATGACCTCTGAACAAGCTACGTGCTGTCCTTTTAACCCAAAGGCAGACACCCTGGAGCAGGGAACAGGTACTTACTCTCAACTATACCTGGACGAGAGACTTGATGCAGAGTATTCCCCACTTCCTACCCCACAACCCAGACTCATCATCCCTCGAACCTGCACATCCTTATCCTCCTTTTACAGATGAGGATGCTCAGGCTAAAAGAGGGTGAGCAACAGGCTTCAAACTTGAAATCATGGCACAGCTAGTGGCATCGCTAGGATGGAATTTCGAGCACCCTGCCTCCAAACCAGACCCTCTTCTTGGTGTATCCTACCTCTTCCATGGGGCTGTCCAGGACCTCCTGCAGAAATCGCATTTGTACTCCAACCATGAAGGGGGTGGGGCAGCAGACGGTGGCCAAAAGGCTCTCAGGGACGACAGGGATGTAGGTGTGTGCCCAGTTGAAGGGATAGAGCAGAGCGGCAGCAGCATGGATGCACTGAGACAAGGTGCTGGGGACAGAGAACGGATGTCAGGGATTCTCCCAGGCCTCCAGCTTTAGCTCACACAGCAACTCCTAGGAATGCTGCCTGTGTGTGCAATGGCAAGTCTGGGAGATGCAAAGGTCAGACATGATGACTCGCAGCTCTGTGTGTGTGTGTGTGTGTATGTGTGTGTGTGTGTGTGTGTCGGGGGGTGGGGAGTGGGGTGGAAACTAGGAGAAGCCAAGGCTCTCTCCTAGAGCCCTCTCTTTACCATTAGTCTTCTCCATCTGTGACTCCCAAAAGTGGAAGAGGTTCTCAAGAAGGAGGGAGAAGAAATAAATGCCTCTATTCACACAGATCGCTGACTGAGCCCCTTCCAGAGCCTCCCCACTGAGATGAAGACGTGCAGATGGTTAATATTTGTAAGATGGCTCCTGCTGGCCAGGAAACTGAGTCAGGGGGCACAGCACATGGCTGGCAGGGCTGAGGTCCCAAGTTCAAGCCTTGGCATTACATGCTCCTTCCCTAGCTCTGGTGGGAGTGGCCCAGTACCTCCCATACCAGGCCAGACTCTGCCAAAAGTCGCTTCCAAACATTCCAAGAAACACTGAGGGTGGCCTCTATAGAAATATAGGACCCTACTTTTAAGGAACTCACCATATAGTTACAGAGATAAAGGTGAACACTGGAGTGCAAAAGAGAGGCACAGCCTTATTTCCTGTTTGGGCGGGTCCACCTCATGCTGTCTTTCCTCCCATGGTTTCTTCTAATCATGCTAGTTTAAAGTTACCAGGTTGGGAATGGGAGCACAGGTGTGAAAGCACTTCTGTTCCTTGCATGTTCAGTCCCTAGTACCATATAAGGCCCAAGCTCCACCAGAAGAGATCCCCGAGCCCAGAGCCAGAAGGAAGCCCTGTGCACCACTGGGTGTGACCCCAAATACCAAATAAACAAAGTTACCAGGTCAATGCTTGTATTAACATGGGAAATTCCTAGATTCCAGGAATCTCCGCCAGGCGATTCCTACAGGAAAGTCCCACAGGGGAATGTCCTCTGACCTTTCCAAGGAAGCATTACCCCAAGGTAAGGACTCAGCACCTCACTCTCCCCCTTGGCACACACAACTCCTCTCTCTAGTCTCCACTCAGCTGTAGTGGCTCAATCAGTTCTCCAAATGGCGCAAAGTCAAGGCCAGTAGAAACACAGATGTGGAAACCTTGTTTCAATTCTTGGCATTAACGGGGCACTTCCTATGCTGGAGAGAGTCTCTGAGCACAGAGGCTGCTGCTTGGAAGTCCCCTCCCTGCCAGCACTTCAGGGAGCTGAAAAGTTCAGAGGGAAGGATGCAGGGAGTGGTGGGAATCTCCCCAGAGAAAGTTAACCTTGAAAGGGGTCCTACCAGTAGTGCTCCCCACTTCCAGGTCAAATGACACCTGTCACTTTCACTTCCTAAACACAGAACTCAGGGGGAAGTATCACAAATCCAGCTCCACACAACAGAAATCTGCCTGCATGGCTGTGCTTTTTCCAAAGCAAAAGATACATCATCTTTTCAAGGACCAGCCTGTATGGAGTTTCTTTTGCTTATCAGATTCTTTGTGGAATTTGTAACTCAGAAACCCTACTCCCTGCCCAAGCTTCCTTTCCTCTAAAACCCATGACATTCTCCTGACCTGTTCCTAGCCTCTGGACTGCTAACATCTTTTCTTCCATCTTCCTTAAAATACAGAACTAAGGTTGCTGGTTCTGTATTTCAAGTTTTTTCCCTACCCTGGCATGAAGAAATCAACCTCTTGGGTTTTGTTTCGGTCTGCCTTCCCCATTCCCTCCTTATCATTCTCGGACTCGAAACACTCCAGAGATAAGAGATCAAGATATGACTGGGGGGTGGCGAGGAGGACCCACGCAATAGTACAGTGGGTAGCACATTTGACTTGCAGGCAGCCAACCTGGGGTTGTTCCAGGCATCCTGTATGGTCCTCTGAGCACTGCCAGGAGTAATTCCTGACGGCAGAGAGCAGGACTAACCCTGAGCATTGCTAGGTGTACCCAAAATAAAAAAAAAAAAATTAAAAAAAGAAGGAAAGAAAAAGAAAAAAGATGACTACGTACCCCTGTTTCAAACATCCATCCATCCAAGAGTGGATTTATTATTAAAATATCAATTAACCCAGCAGGGTCCTAGGTACCTACTGTGCTTTAACTCACTTACTTCTCCTTACCAGAACCTTATTAGGTAAATGCAACCATTATCTTCATTTTACAGATAGGAAAAAATCACAACTTCAAGCAGTTAGAAACCACGTGGGTCTTGAACCTCATTCTGCTGATTTCAACATGTCTGCTTTCAACCATGAGATAATTTAGAGTCCCTGAGGTCAATGACCTCGTTTTGTGTGTCTGCACCTTCCCAATTCTCAGCATCTGGCAACCAGCTGACACAAACCAAGTGCCTGTGGGATGAGTGAAGACATGGACACATGAACCGTGTGCTCCTCCTGGTCTGTCCTCACTTCCCCTAGAGCCTTTCAAAGCCAAATCACATTTGTATCCACCCTAACTAGTCATCACCTGGGCTGTTGCTGGAAAAACAGCAGGCCCTTCTCAGAGCTAAATCAGGAACTTTATACCTGACAGGCAGAAGCAATCAAGTGTGGAGATGGGAACAAGAAGATTGCAACAGCTACTTCTGGGGTCCTTGTGTGCACCAAGAGGCAGGAAGGTGAGCATCCAGGCTCACAGTCTGGTTTCAAATGAGGGCCCTCACATCTGCTGCCTGGGCCCAAGGATGCCCAACAGTGCCAGGGAGCCGTCCAAGCATTGCACCCACCTGAGATCATCTGCCAGGAAGATGATCCTTCTCTCCAGCACTGCAGAGGCAAAGATCTGGAGAATCTGCTCAAAACACAGACATCGCACCAGAGAACTGAAATCCACATGCTCCAGGTGGGAGTCCAGAGGCCTTGTTAGCGAGATGAACTGTGGAGAGAGAAGAAAGAGGGTGTCGTCGCGCTCCAAAGGCCTCAGAGTGCAGGGCCTCTCCCCACAGGCACTTTTTGAATGAGTGAAAAAGCCGAGTCTCTTTCGCCTCCGTTTACTTAGGGAAACCAAAGTTCAGAGGCGCCTAGATTATCCGGAGTAGCAGAGGTCAGGCCACTGCCTAAGAACAATGGCAAGCCTATGTGGCCTGGGTGGAGACATGAGCGATAAGAGACAGATGCAGGTGGAGGGAGAGATACAGGACATGAGCAGGAACAGCTCCAGGGGCAAAAGGCAGGGTTTGGGGTGGTCTCAGGGACAAAAGGCAGGTGTGGGGGTGGTCTGGGGTCAAAGACCCTTCTAGTACTGAGAATCTTGGCTTTCCTGGTTCATTTACTACATATGTAAATCTGGTGTCCTGAATGGGGACTAGAACCTCAGAAACATCAGGTAGGGAGGATCCAACAAGTTAAGCTTGATTTTCATCTCTATCCCTAACTGTAGCCAAGTCCCACCTGGCTGGGAGTTCTGGGAACAAGCAGTGAGTGGAGCACGAGGGAACACCCAGGGGAGTGCAGGCTCTCCAGGCAGTGCCGTTCTCTCCCATTTTACTAACCCACCTCAGTTCCTGAGTCGGGGATGAAGCTCTTGAGGGTGACAGTCTTCCCAGGAGCAGGGAAGGCTGCTTCTCGAAGGCCCTGCATGAAGGGGTAGATGACGGCCATGGAGATCTGATGCCTCTTCTCCACTTCGTCCAGGATCTGCAGGGAAAAGGGACAGGGGAGTGGCATGGCTCAAGGGGAGACTTCTGGGGGTGGGACCAACACTCGCCTCTCCAGGTCCCCTCCTTTGTCCCTCCTCAGCTCCTCCACCAACTGGTTCTCTTCTTGCTAGGAATGGACCTTCTGTTGAACAATCTGCTACTTATCTGCTGCTCCAAACCTGCTTTTTTGCTTTTTGAATCACACCAGGTGGTACTCAGGTACAAGTCAATGTTCAAGGGATCTTTCTTATGCAGTGCCCAGCGGTCAAACCAGGGTCAGTCAAAGTAAAAGTAAATGCCCACTACCTGCTGTATTATCTCTCCCTAGTTTCATTCTCTCTCTACTAATGCATGTTCCTCTCCTCTCCCTAACATCAGCACAACAGTCTTCCCAGTACTCATTCCAGAGCACAACACACTTTCTGACATGCAGGAAGGGCACCAGCCCCCTGAACAGTCAGAAATTCTGTATAATCAATCATGGACTTATCAAAGGCTTAACTGCTATCAGCCTGACATTGACAAGAAACGCTGCCAATAGGCCATTCAACACATAATTTGTATAGTATGTGTGCAAAGCCTGGCAAGCGACCTGTGACGTATACGATATGCCAAACACAGTAACAAGTCTCAAAATGGAGAAGTTACTGGGCCCGCTCGAGCAAATCGATGAACAATGGGAGGAGGTGACAGTGACAGTGACAGTGTGCTATATACTGTATTCTTAAAGTAAAATAAAGAAAATAAAGGTAAAGGCCCTCCCGTTGATCGTCGATTTGCTCGAGCGGGCCCAGTAACGTCTCCATTGGAGACTTTGTTGTTACTGTGTCTGGCATATCGAATACTCTCGGTAGCTTGCCGGGCTCTTAAGATGTAAAAAGTAACAAGGAAAAATACATTTGCATTACCGTACTTATCCATGTTACAAGTTTGCATCATCTTTTTTATATAAGAAAATCTAGGGATGGGGGACCGGAGAAATAGTACAGTGGGCAGGGCACTTAGCTTGCATGAAGCTGACCTGGATTTGAACTCCAGAACCCCATATGGTCCTCAGAACTTGTCAGGAGTGATCCCTGAGCACAGAACCACAAATAACTCCTGAGAAACATGGGGTGTGCCCCTCTCCACCCCCCAAAAAAACAATCCAAGGATGGAGCCAGAGAGATGGTACACAAAATTAGGTAATTATGTGCAGCAAGCCCAACTTCAAATCCCCTGCACCACCAATGGGTCCCTAAATACCACCAGGAATAAGCCCTGAACATAGCTAGGTGTGGTGCAGAACTAAAAAGAAAAGAAAAGAAAATCCAGGGTCAAATGGATCCACACCATTCAAATGTGTATTGTTCAATGATCCATTGGGTCCATTGGTCTTTTAAGACTTGCCATCCCCTGGCACTCCCCAGCCCAGGAGCTCTGGGCTCACACTAGCTGCATAACTAGGAGTTGGAAGAAGGCACCTTCACATAACCAGCAGCCTCCTGTGTGCTTAGAGTCTCCCACATCACCTCACTAGAGCCTCATGCCACCAGGGAGCATGAGGACCCCATCACACATCTGACAGAACAGAAAGCTGAATCTCAAGGTCAGGCGTCTTCTGAAACTTCCAGTTCCTAATCTGTGGCTCTTCCACCACCCCCACTGCTCTCAACTGAATAGAGGGGCGGGGGTCTCTGCAGGGAAGGGGGCAGACCACGCTCTAGGTTTCACTCCTACTTTCCCCTGAAATCAAGCTGACCCCCACCATAATCTGCCTCAATTTTCCCAAGTGTTTTTCTCTCCCAATAGACCCATGAAGGAGGGGGTCTTGAGGGTGCAATTCCATGGAAGATTCAGGGGGCAAACAGGGCAGCCTGAAGCGGACCCCCAGAAGTCAAGCCCACCAAACAAGCCTCCAAGGAGCCGCGCTATACCCGCCTGTACCTTGGAGAACAAGCCGAAGCAGCCGAGGCAGCTGATGATACAGTACACCTTTGGGAGGCGAGGGCCGGTGCCGGCAGGCTGGGGGGACAGAGAGGCACCTTCAGCACCACAGTGACTCCACAGTGTCACCTGATTAGGACTGAGGAGGCCTGGGTATGGTGGCTGGGGCTAGGCCATGGTGGACCTGAAACAGCTTAACTGGAGCAAGATATCACCCAGGCAAGCAAGGTGACAGTTAGTGCCAGCACCGTAGGGGAACCTGGGGCTGTAGAGATGCAGATGACTGACAAGATGAGCAACAGGACAGCGACCTGGATAGTCCTCCTGCGACGCCAAACTGAAACTCAGGGTTTAAGTTTCAGTGTGCGCGCTGGGTGCACCAAGCCAGGAGCTAAGGCTACAAACCTTGGCTCGAGGATTCTGGTGGAGCCTCCCTCTGAAGGGGGCTGATGATGAACATCAGGGAGGGCTAAAGTCCAAGGCAAGCTGGCAAAGGGCCCCTCGGGGAGAGAATGGGAGGTATGTCTTCGTGCTTGAGGATTGCTAGGGCAGGGGCTGATTTATATGGCAGCAGGTGCTGGGCTGTGCCCTTGCTACAACCATATTTGCCTGGGGACCTGGGCTTTTGCAGTTCTGCCCTGGGCAAATTCAGCGGTGGAACCCAGCCAGCTACTGGGAGGAGGGAGTGGTTCTGAGATGCACAGACCAACAGGCGCCTGCAGTAGCCGATCTTCCTGCTGCCGTCCACATTGGTCAGAACGAAGGAGAAGGTCTCCCTGAGGAAGAACGGACAACATCCGGTTTGCATTTGTTGGCTAGATTCTCAAACAGGAAGGCAGCCAGAGTCTGAGGGGTGCTGACAGCTGAGTGGGGTGAGGGAGGGCAGGGGAGCAGAGGGTAGTTACCGATTGATCCCAAGGGTAATAATAACCTCAGGAACATCTAAAGTGCTGTCTGGTCTTAAGCCTGCTTGTCTCTGTTCATTTCATCCACAGAGCAACCCTTTGAGGTGCTCTCAGTGATTCTCTCACTTCAAAGATGCAGGTTCTGAGTGAGGATCTGAGAGAGTGTTTCCTACTCAGGGTCGTCAGACTCATAAAAGCCAAAATATGCAAGTAAGGTAGGTGACCTGATCCATCCCGGGCTTGTGCTATGAGGCACTTGGGCAGGTCTCTTTCTAGGAGACCAGCAGATTGCTTCTGAATATATATTCTCCCAGAAGCCAAGTCAAAGCACTGTGGTTCTCCTTCCTGAGACAGGGCAGAGAACTACCCCTTCTCTAGTCCAGGGATAGGTGTGATTAGTTAGCTGAGAGCCTGGGCAGCTGGGCCTGCAACCGAGGAGTTTATAAGTAAGTCCACCCAGTGCCTCTACACAGGAGGGAAGTCTGAGGGGACACGCACACTCACTGCACAAGAGGCCACAGAACTGCACAGCCCTCACCTGCCCCTTGGCACCCAATTCCAGACCCCCTCTCCCATAGCTGGGCAGTTACCTGGGATACTCAGTGAGTGGTACCCACTCGTTCCCATCTGGGAAGCAGAATAAGGGAATGGCTCCGAGCAGCCGCTCCTCCTCCTCCTGTTGGCCCCGAAGCAGATTCTCCCGCTAGAAGGAACAAGAAGAGACAAGGATGGCAGAGTTCAGGGATGGGGCACAACAAGTGAGGCCAGCAGGCCTCCTTTAACGGTCTAACAGCCCTGGTAGGAGCTTCTTCATGAGCACGGGGGCTCATAGAGAGCCCCGGCCTGTCTCTGTGCACAAGCTCATTCAAAGTGTGGCAGCAAGATCCCTGAGACTGAAACAGCCCCTCCTGGACTGTTTCAAGGAACCCATGGACCCAAGTTAGAACTCATGAAGCTTTCTTACTCTTACAACTAAGAAAGGGGATTTGGACCAGCTTGTGTGCAGAAGAGCTCAGAGGTGGCGACCACATCAGAGAGATGCTAGGTCAGGAAAAGAAGCACCAGCTTAGTTAAGGATGAAGGTTAAGACAGGGTTAAGGAGAAGAGTGGCCTGTCCCCGCCCCACTCCCACCCAGCTCCAGCATAGCTGCCTCAGACAAGAAGGAACCTGATGCTTGGGCTGAGGCCACAGGCTGGGCCTCCCCACAGGCCACTCCACCTTCTCCCGACACCACCCCAGGGAGGGGCTTCCAGCAAGGAGTTCAGGCCGAAGGTAAGCTGCTCCCAGGGAAAGGTGATTAAGGGTGGAATGTGAAGGAACCCAGAGGTTCCAAAGGGACATTCTAGCCTCATTTGGGGGCAAGGCATCCTGCCAGCACATCATCCAGAAGCCAGACCTAGATTCTGTTGGTGATAGAGCCCAGGGCTGGGCGAGAAGGGAAGCAGAAGAAGCGAGACTAGAGCATGTTGGGGAGAAAAGCACACCCCACTACCCCCTTCCAAATACCACAGTCCTTTGACTCCCTGGGTCCTTACCTTGGGAAACTGGTAGGTGATTGTGGGTGCATAATTGGTCCCAGAAGGCTTTTTTTTTAGGGAAACCACAAGAAGGTATTCAAAGAAGTGCTGGCCTCCGGCGAGGTTAGGCAAACTGTATTCCTGAGTCCTTTCTGGCTCCTTGTCTGTGGCCCCAGTGTTGTCTTGTGGTGGGGCTGAAACTAAGACACAGGCTCAGTTCAGTATCTTATTGGTTCAGGACCCGGCAAGTGGAGTGTGTAGACTTCCAGCTCCCTGGAGGCTGCCAGGTCCCACTGGGGCCTGTCCAGCACCTCAAGTCATGAACAGGATCAGAGCCAGTTGGGCAGTTTCCAGCGCCTGCCCTGAGACACCTGAACCTGCGGGAAACTGCGGGGAAACTAAGAACAAAGAAACCACAGATCGGAGAGCCAAGGCAATGCCCTGGAGGCCACTCACCCCAAGTACTAAACACTGCCTCTCCCCCACAGTGCCAGTGCTGGGAATTATGTTGACTTCTGTTTAATCAGAACTAGGAGGCCCAGGATAGATCTGAGGTATAGCACTTGCCTTGAAGGCATGAGGATGTTAAAGAGTTTGATCCCTCCCCCTCCAGCCAGACTCGCATCACTGAAACGCAGCAGGCAGGAAGCACAACTCAAATGGATGAGTCCCCACTGAGACCCACAATAGAAATACGTGGCCTCCTGCCCCCACCCCATCATTGTGACATCACCAAGGAGAGGAGAGAGGTCTAAAAATAAAGGTAAAGGTAAAGGCCCTCCCGTTGATCGTCGATTTGCTCTAGCGGGCCCAGTAACGTCTCCATTGGAGACTTTGTTGTTACTGTGTTTGGCATATCGAATACTCTCGGTAGCTTGCCGGGCTCTCCGAGAGGGGCGGAGGAATCAAACTCGGGCTGGCCATGTTGGCCACTTATAAGGCGAACACCCTACCGCTGTGCTATCGCTCCTGCCCCCACCCCATCATTGTGACATCACCAAGGAGAGAGGTCTAAAAATAATCAGAAAGAAATCAGAATAAGGCCCGGGGGCAAGAGATGGGGGCTATATCAACCACCACAATGGGTATGACTGGTTCTGAAAACCAACATGGGAAACCTCCAGGCTTGGACCTCCGGGGGCCTGGTAGAGGTCGAACTATAAAAAGAAAAGGAGGAAGACACATTTCAAGGAAGCAACCATGGAGAAAGTACAATTTAAGAAAGGAAGTGGGTAATCTAGTCCAAACCTGGTCGGCGTCGTGGCAGCCGAAGAGGACTCCGTTTGCGGAAGAGCCTGAGCACGCCTCCTACCACTTGTCCTTCCATTGTCTCAGAGGGACTTCCCTCTCCAGCACTGCCTGGCTACCAAAAGCCCGAGAAAGTGGCCACTGCTTTAGTCTCCAACCACAACTCGATAGAGCCAAGCCCCGTGTTGTCCTCCAAACGGGGAAGAGAAGTTGCCATCCTGGGCACCCACGGTCTGGGCGAGAAGGATGTGATGGGGCCCAGGAAGGCAGCAGAACAGCCGCACTGTCAGAGGCAGCATCCTGGCAATGCAGCACAGACCTCAGCTCCTCCCAAGAGCCCCAGGGTGTGGTGAGAGAAAAGGTCACGAGCTCCTCCAAAGCCCAGCTGCTGGGCTGGGCTAAGGACTTTGCTGGGTTACGCACTCTGCAGGGGGATTATTTCCTACTCCCTTGAGTATAGAAAGCCTGATAACCTTAGCACTGCACTGTCCTCCCATTGTTCATCCATTTGCTCTAGTGGGCACCAGTAATGTCTCCATTGTGAGACTTGTTGTTATTGTTTTTAGCATATCGAATACACCACAGGGAGCTTGCCAGGCTCTGCAGGCTGCAAAAAGCCTGATAACCTTAAGGCCAAGGAAAGGGATCCTGTATCACCTTGACTTGGATTCCTGACCTTTTGCTTACTCAACCGTAGCCATGCTGTAAGGTCATCAGCTGATCTGAAGTTCCAGGATTTGAGCTCCATGAGTAAGCACACAGGCACAAATACCACCCAGAGCTGGGAGGCCCCGGCCTCCCCATGGAAGAGGACTGGAGTTGACCTAAATGATAAAATTGGTCTGACCAAAGAGGGTATCATGCAGACCAATTCAGACTTAGGAGCCTCCAATCCCAGTAGCTAAGCAGAAAGCAAAGTCCATCTCTGAGCCGACACTCTGGATTCTGTTGGGTCTTTTATCTCCCACACAGGCTGACTAGGATAAACTTTTCTCACTGGAGCCCTGTTCTGAGGCTCTAGCAGAGAATACATCTTGTTTACTGACTCAGGAAGTTCCCCCAGAGTAGGGGACTAGTTGCATCAGGAAATTGAGGGTCATTTAGTGGCAGTGGAAAGTGTCTGGGTATTCTCTGCCCTATCCTTACTACTTCCATATCTTACCCATAATTGGCCAAGGGTGGTTCCACTCAAACTAACAACAGAGCAGTTACCCTGGAGTTGTAATGGTGTCTATAGAGGCAGCATCTAGGGGCTGAGAAAGATTTAAATAAATAAATAAATAAAAACCATCCTAAAATCCCACAGAAGCCTTTGTTGTTTTGTTTCGGGGTCATACCTGGAAGAGCTTAAGTCTTACTTCTGGCTCTGCACTCCAGGGTCACTCATGGCAGTGCTCAGAGGACCACATGTGGTGCCAGGCATAGAAAGGGGCTTGGTCACATGCAAAACAAGGACCTTAATCCCTGTACTATCTCTCTGCCCCTCCTACCCTTTAACCATTAAATCACAAAATACATGTGATACAAAATTAAAGGAGTTGGGCCAGGAAACTGTCCCTTAGAGAACCAGAAAGGTCAAAGGGCTTGGTGTCAATCTTCCCACTTGTCAGGAAGTATCAGTTGTCCAGGAAAAAAGAGGGTACTGAGAGAGGGGCATAGCTGCCTTGCTCCTGAGCTTCAGATCTGGCAATTATGGGACTAGCAAGAGCAAGCTCAGTGTTCCAGCCATGCTCTGGCACAGAGGCTCGTCACGGTTCATAAGGATGCATGGAATGCTGGGATGACATAAGCAGTGACCCAGAAGACACAGCACCCGCACCACAGAGCCACACCTTACTCACAGCCTGCACACACCCAAGCAAACCTCATGATCTATCTGGAGGAACCAGCCTCTTCTTGAAACAAACTGGGAAACTGAGGCAGGGACTCATTCAGGGGTTATTTACAATGAGCAGACATGATTGTGCATGAAAATGATGAGGCCTCCAGGCCAAGCTCCAGGCGCCCTCTGAATGCAGCATGCACCAAACCTTCACCCAGTGCGACACCACTCCTTGTTTGCACAGGACTGAGGAGCAAAAGCCTTTCATCAGATCTGAAGAGATTGTTCCTCTCCCTGAATCCTGAGTGCTGCACTTTCAGTCATTTTCCTCCTTCTTCATCAGGAGAGCCCAAATAACCGCAAAAGGAACAAAATCAACAAAGTGACCAGATCTTTGAGTTGAGAACCCAGAATTTTTTTTCCCAAAGGCTGCTTTCTCTACACAGGGTCCCCTTTCAAAGGGAGCTGTCAACAGAAGAGAAAACCTGAAAGCTAGTACCCCTCAAACATACATGCTTCATATAATTACATAATTCATCTCACTTCCTAGTGCCCTGTAAAGGGATGATTGTCCTGTTTGTAGCTGAGGAGGGAGCCACCCTTTCTAGGGAAGTCCAGACTCTGGTTCCACTTGTTCCTCCACAGAAAACCCCTCCCAGTCACCTGATGGAGGCTCCCAACTGTACAATGGAGATGAAGAGGTTCCTGCAACCGAGCTCCTCTTCTTCCACCACCACCACAGGTCCTGGTCCCCACCATAATGATTTACACACACACACACACACACACACACACACACACACACACATACCCTTCTACCACACAACTGCCCAAGAAGAAACTCCCAAGGAGGAATCCCCAAGAGGGTGCACCCAGAGGTCAGTTGGAGACTGTTGGCAGGGTGAAGGTTCAGGTGCCAGAGCTTAGGACAGGTAATACTGGCTATTACTCCCCCAGCAACATCATCAGCTTGGTGGCTGGCGAGCAGGAACTCAGGAAAACATGGAGCTCCTCACACAGACCTTTGAAGGTTGAGGGATACCAAGTGAAAGGAGCAAGAAGGCAGGTGAGGGCACAGAGTCAGGTGGCTGATCCCTCTGGGTGGAGCTGATCCCTGTATTTGGGAGAACCATCAGGTTAGGGAAGCAAGTGTCAGGAGAGCAGACAGGGCACTCTGGGGTTTTCTGAAGTCTGAGACTTGGAATGAGGTGGAGGTGGTGGTTTCACCCTTGACTCCTGGATGTCAGGGAAGTAGGGAACTGTCTGAAATGCTCCCACTGACCTTCCAACCTGCTTTCTTCCGCAGGAGGTGACTATGGACAAAGTGACTGTGAGCTATGACATTCAGAGGCAATAGATGTCAAATGAATGAAAGCAAACCTGGACCTCTCCTGGCCTTCCTTCACCAGCCAGCCAGCGATCCCTTTAAGAAGAAAGGAGAGTTTTGGCTTCGAACTTCACTCCCGCAATCCTGGATGGGAGCAAGGATTCTCTCTTGACATCTTGACAGAAGCAGGATGCAGCAGGAGTGACAGAATGATACATCTCTGTTGCACATTCTCTCTCTCTCTCTCTCTCTCTCTCTCTCTCTCACACACACACACACACACACACACACACACACACACACACACACACACAGCCTCCATTCCACTCCAGAGGCTTCCTAAGCAATCTTCATCCCGTCCCGGAGTCTCCCTGGGTCAGGGATATGCGCGCATCTCGCATGGGATTTTGGGGGTGCCCAGAGCGCTGATCTCTCCGGGGGACCCAGTGGCCCCTGCAGCAGCGGGGAGGGGCGGGTCCCGAGCGGTCGCAGCAGCCCTGCGGTTGCACCACAAGTTTCTTGATCCGGAGGACACGTGGCCCCGGGCCCCAATGTCGTTTCCGGGGACAGCCGGCGCACTCGCCCGAGGCCTGCCCACCGCACTGACCTCCAGCCGGGTCCCCACCTGCGCCGACCCGCCTCCACCTGCGCCTCCCTCGCACCCACCTGAGCCCCTGCGCCCGCGCCCGCCTCCGGGCGGAGTTCCCGGGGCCCGCGCCCCCACCCCCGGCGCACCCCGGCCCCGCACTGACCCCCACGGCCTCGCTTGAATCGCAGGCTGGATCGCAGGCGGCGGCCGAGCCCGTCCATGGCCCTCGGCTCCGTGCGCCCCTCCCCCCGCGCACCCCGACACTTTCGCTTTCCCGCGGGGCCCCCGGCGTGACCGGCTGCGGGGCGGCGCACCTTCTGCCCGGCCCAACCCCCGCGCACCTGGGCGGGCCCGCTCTGCCCGGGGCCCCGCGGGGCGACGTGGGGTGACCGCGCTCGACGTGCGTCCGGGAGAGGCGGCGCCACCCTCGGCGGGGTGCGCGGCCAAAGCTGCGGCTCCGCGCCCCCAAGTCCCGGCGTGTCCCGGCCGCCTCTCGGCCCCGCGCTCCGAGCCCCCCCGGCCCCGCGCCCCGTCTGGCCGTCCCGGACCCATCCCTGCAGGCGCCTGAGGTGTCCGAGTTGTCACGTTTCCAGCTACTCCGGCTCGCTCTGGTCACTTCTGTAGCCCGGGGCCTGTCCCTGGTCTCTTGCCGTCTGCTGTCCTTCCAGCCGCAGGGCTATTTACCTTTCCGCAGAGAAGTGGAGCGAGGGGCACCCTCTGGGCTCCGCAGAAGGGTCTGGAGAGGCGCGGGGAGGAATGCGGGAAGAGATAGAGGCTTTGCCTTGCCTTCCCGGCATAGGGGTTCTTGGGGACGAACCCTTAAAATCGGGGCAATCGATTGAAAGCTGTTTGTGAGCTCATAAACGATGCAAATTTAAGTGATGATGACATGAATGATAATGATGGACCATCCGCACTACTCCTAATCCCAAGTTCCAAGGCAGGCGTTCACCTCTTCCTCCTGCCTCTTCACCTTCATTGCTTTATAAAGAGGACCGGATTCTGAGCGCCATGCATCTAAGACCAAGTCCAAGTTGTTCTTGGGTTTTCTGCTTTGGCTCCCAGGACCAGCGTCCTGAGCCTAAGAAGGCCGGAGGGGACACAGAACCCACCTGCACTTTCTCCATTTGCAGCCATTTTTGCGGCTGTTTAAGTGTGGGACCTAGCGGAAAGAAGACAGTTGGGCAGAAATCTATATTTGGCATTGATGAAAATGACACCCACACCTCTAGCCCCTTCTCTCCTCATGTCAGATCCTTAGGGACTCTCCTGGCGGTCTGTGAGGTGAGCAGAAGGGAGGACTCTTAGCCCTAGTATTAAACTGTCTGGTCTTAGCCAGGAGATTCTAAAAGTTGCCTCTACTCTGGAACTGTACAATTTTGTACTTAATTACACGGTCTGTTTCTGTGTATTTCCTCATGCAGCACACATCTGTTTCCCAAATACCGTCTCTTGCTTGCAACCATGTTCTTCTGCATCTCTATGTAATAGAATAATTGTTCATGATAAATTAATCCAACTGGCTAACTATGACAGTGCCTTAATTTTCTCCATCTCTTTTGTGGTCCCAGCTAACAACTTCCTTTAGAAGAAAAAGGAGCCAGAGAGATAGAGTAGGTAAGCAGTTGCCTTTCATGCAGCTGACTTAAGTTTGATACTTGGAACCCCAAATGGTCTCCAGAACTTGCAGACTGATGCCTGTGCACAGAGCCAGGAGGAAGTCCTGAGCACTACTGAGTGTGGCCCAAAATACCCAAATAAATAAAATATAGCAAATGAAGAAGTCCATGTACACATATGCCAAAAGCCAAGTACAAAAACTTCAAAGATGTATTTGAAATAGCTCAAACAATATCATGTTCATGAGCAGTGAAATGGATGCATTTCAGCATATTATTACAATGGAGTAATAGAAACAAACCCAGATGCATGTAATAGCATGGCTATATCACGTAAGATAATACTGAACAAAAGAATCAGAGGAAATGAGCAGATATTAATATAAGATCCTAATTATATTAATTGAAAAAAGAGGCAAGACTAATATATAAAATGAGAATTTAGGATGTTGTTAGATTTCAGGAGGATAAACAAAGTGATGATGAGACTTCTGGGATAGATATCACCTAATATCTGCCACCACATTAATACCCTTCCCTGGTGGCAGATATTAGGTACAATAGCTATGTAATTATTCTGTGCTCTATAGACTTATGTGTACTATTCAAGGGTATGTGAAACTTTGACTTTAAAAGACTTTTTGAAAGTATTCATTAGGATGATAAGATGGCATAAGAAGGTTTAAACAAGTTAAGCAGAAACTGAGAAATTTTGGGGATAAGTAGAATGAGTGTTGGTCTACAGTTAAAGGGAGATTGGAGATTCAAGTGCTGGAGTAAGTTGGAAAAAGGACATCTGAAAAATTGGGGAGGAGTGTCTTTTATTTGTTTTTTATTTGGGGGCCTTTTATTTGTTTTTTGTTTGGGGACCATACCCAGCAATGTTCAGAGGTTGCTCCTGGCTCTGCACTCAGGAATTACTGCTTGTGGTGCTCTGGAGACCAAACAGGATGCTGAGGACTGAACTTGAATTGGGCATGTGCAAGGAAAGTGCTCTACCTGCTGCTATGTCACTCTGGGAAGGCTAATCTTTTATGTTACTGCAAAGGGCTCTGGAGCCAACATTCTCTCTCTCCTAGACAAAGGATTTGCTCTGTATTTAGACAACCTGAAAGAAACCCTGACACTCCTCGCTACTTAAATCATATCTCACTGTTACAACTTCAAGTCATACAATTTCTTATTTCCTTAGAAGCACTTACAATTTGTAATATAACACACACAAATACACACATAGAGGGGGAGAGAGAGAGAGAGAGAGAGAGAGAGAGAGAGAGAGAGAGAGAGAGAGAGAGAGAGAGAGAGGGAAACTAGTTTTTCAGCTACTCTGTCCCTTTCTAGAGACATCCCCAGGTGCCTCCTTTTGTTCACCACTGTGTTTCCAGTGCCTATCTCAGTACCAGACATGAATTAGATCATCAGAAAACATTTCTGGAATCAATAAATGGATGACTGAATAGATGGACTTTATGCCTTAAATGTCTATGTTTAAGGAAATAGAGAATACCTTCTTGAAACATTTTTGCTTTGGTTTCTACACTGGAAAAACATTTAGATTGTTTCACACCCACTCCTTCTCTTATCTTTGCAGGCAGTCTTTGATCAGAGATCTTCGGGTGGGAGGATTCTGATCCTGGCAGCCCCATTTCCTTTCCTGGGTTGACTTGAGTGGGCATGTGACTCACTCTGGGCATCGAGAGGCAAGAGCTGGGGACTGTTAATATCACAATCCACAAGGAATGACATTTTTCTATCCCTGGACATTATTGAATTTGGATATGATTACAGGTGCTGCTGTGTAGAAGCTGGGACACACTGCAGAGCATAGGCAGAGGCAGCAGGATGAGTGAGACAGCAAGAGTCAGGGATGAGCAGCCTGGAGGCTGCAGTTGGGTTGGCTCTAGAATTCTCCTTTTCCAGGGTCATAATACTCTCCTTGTTTGTTGGTTGAAGATTTTTGTTGATTTTTGCTTATTTGTCTTGGAGACACACCCGGTAGCATTCAGGCTCTGTGCTCAGGTTTGTAACTCTAGGCTCCGTTCACTCTTGGCAGAGTTCAGGGGACCAAATGTGAGTATCAAAGATTGAGTCAGGCTGGTCAAGAGCAAAACAAGTGCCTTATTATCAGTTCTCTCTCTCAGGCCCTAGCTCTCCTTTTGGATTAAAGCAGTGAGTTTTCTAAATGCACTTTATATAGGATCTTCAGAAAATATACGCACAATATAGTAGACAAAAATTGCAAACATTTTGCAAAAACAATTTCACTCTCAATACATGAGAAAACTTGTTTATTTAAAACACCCAAAAATGACTTCACTAGTGGAGTTCATGCCCAATTCAATCAGCCTAATCAATGACTGAATAAATAGCAATACTCCTACACTTAAAAAAAATGATTTCACTATACAAAAGTATGTGTCACCCATAGTTTAAAACGTTTAAGGAGTAGCTGAAGTGTCTACATCCCAGAGCCATGTCTCTCTCTCTTTCTCTCTCTCTCTTTCTCTCTTCTTTTCTCCATCACGCCCCCCCCACCAAATAAAATTATTTATTTCACTATTTTAAAAAAATTTTGGCAGGATTTTAAGATACTTCCCCAAAATCCTAAAGCCAGACAAGCCGAGTTGGCCATGCTCTATCAGTGACTAGTTTTGTTACACTGGAAAAAACTTGTTTCTTGACCTTCCTGTGATTTGGTTTTCTCTTACTTGATGGAGATAAGTGTGGTAACTATATAATCAGATTATTTAAAGGATTAAATGAGTCAATACAGGTAACACACGTGGAATGAGAAGCACTGAGAGGTCTAAACAGAGGACTTAAATGTAGGGCACGGTTCCTGCTCTATAGGAAAATGTTAAAATGTGGAGGCACCGGGGTCAGAAGAAATGTGGGCCTGTCCCCAAATAGGAAGAAGAAACAACCCAAACTCAAATCTAACTTCTAGAAGGTGGAACTGAGATATTTAATGGAATAATGAAACTTTTTAAAAACATTGAGTAGCTTAATTTTAGAATGATTTAATGTATACAGACAAATTGAACAGAAATTACAAAGAATTCTTATATACTCCCTCATTCTAACCTCTCACACAGTGTGAATTTCCCTCTTACATCTTGAGTTAATGTGGGCCATTTGTTGGAATTGATGCTGCTGCTATGCTGTTATTATAGTTCATACTTATATTAGAAATCAACTTTGTCGTGTGCTTTCTTTGAGTATTGGAAAATGCATAATGACATATTTTCACTGTTACAGTAGCCTATGGAATAGTTTCAGTGCCCTAAACCCCCAATGTTCTGTTTATTTATCCCTTCTAGCCTCCCTTGAAATCCCTGGTAACTTCTGGTCCTTTCATTATCTCTATAGTTGTACTTTTTCCCGAATGTCATAGATAAGGAATAATGTCATTTGTATCATTTTCTTTGCTTCTTGGTGTGGGGAAGAGGAATGCCAGGGATCAAACTCATACATGCAAAACCTGTATTCTACCACTTAGCAATAATCCCAGCTCTGAGTATAGCATTATTGATTAATTTCCTTCACCAAAATTTAAAACATCTTTTTGGAATATAGAATAAATTAAAAAGAAAGAGAAGAAAAAGAAGTCTTTCTATTCAGACCTCTAAGCAACCAATAGTCGTAATTAATTTTGCTAACAATATTTGCTTTAT